TGGTTCTGGGGTCCCGAGTGGAGTTTGGGGGAGGAGGACGCGGAGGTGTGCGGTCCTGGGTGGGAGGTGGGGGGTGCGGCCTCAGGAGAACGTAAAGTTTATTCCTGGAAGCCGGTGCGGGACTTCGCTGGAGTAGGGCCGCGGGCCATGCTCCCGGCCCGGTAGGCGCTGCCGCCGCGAGTCCGCCGCCTTTGTGCCGGCCGCCCTGGCTTCGCGTCTCCTTCCTCTTCCTCTTCGTCTTCCAGCACTCTGGTCGCCGTCAACAGTTTTGCTTCTTAAAAAACCACCTCTGTCAGCGTTGCGATCGCCGTTTCTACCCCGGGATATCCGCTGCCCCCCACTCCCGGCCGGGGTAGTTTCTGGATCACTCCCCCCCACCCCCGTCCGCCTCCTGCTGCCCTTTTTTGCCTCCGCCCCCTCTTCCCTCTCGGACTGTGGAGCTGCGTCTGCCACCCCCACTCCCCGGCTCGGGCCTCCAGCTCTCCTGTGTGTAGCTGGAGGCTCTGAGTTTACTGAAGATGAGCGGGGGTGGGGGTGGGGCAGATGGGCTTGGGAAAAGACCTGGATACCTGGGAAGGTCTATGTCAGGACGCAGAAGGTTTGAGGAGCATTGCTTCTCATACAGTAAGGTCTGTGCCTTGGTCTCATCTTTTAGCAGTTCTTCCCCGGGAACGACTGCCAGCTCCCAACTCCTCTGCTTCCCTCTTTCAATCTTCTTGTCGCTGCCCCTCCCCCCAGCCCCTCCACCCACCCCGGTTGCCTTTCGCGGCTCCCTCCCCTTTAAGTAGTTTCAGGAACCCCAGAATTGGGATTTGGGAAAGGGAAGGAAGTGTTTGAAGAGTCAGAGCTGGCCCTGTTGTTTGGGAGATTTTCTCTTCTTTTCTTTCTTCCTCTGTATTTATCTTTTGTCTGTTGCTTCCTTATGGAGAGGGAAGCAGCTGCAGTCCTTGGCCGAGTTGTTGAAATTTATCCCTTTGTGTATATTACAATATCCTCCATTTTTTTTTCCTGCCCTCTAAACAACAAGCGTTTCGCCATCTTGGGCAATTTTATTCCCAAGTCTCTCTTTTTTATTTTTGAGGAAAGGAAAGAAACATTAGGAAGGCAAAAACTATGTCTGGATAAGGCTCAAAGTTTAGGAAATGTTCAGGGGGCCCAGTGACGTCATGTAAACTTTATGGAGAAATTTTCCCAGAGTAAATTTTTTGCTTGTTTTCTCCTGTTTTATAGGATTGTGTAACTTACAGGTTGATGATAGGTTGTGTGGCTTATTTTTGTGTGTTGCTCTCAAAATGAATATACGAAGTCTGCATATTGTATGTTCTGGTAACAGGTGGAAGATTATGTGCAAAAAATGGTAAAAAAAAAACAAAAAACTTTTGGGTGTCATTTGTTATTTACCTGGTTTTTGTGTACTTTTTTTTTTTTTTTTTATTTAAAGCTTTCAACTGTTATCTGTAGTCAGTGTATTCCCTTTCTTATTTACTCCATTCCATTCTACCCTATGGATTTTTAAAAAAATTAGCTTGGTTAATATTTATGTATGGTTATTTTAGATTACCTGGCTCCTCCTTTATAATAAAATGTTCAGGGATTTTCTTTTTCTATTATTTATTTACACTTTGAAAAGAAATGACTGAATACCTTAAGATAATGGATACTTTAAAATTTAGTAGCAGATATTAAGTCAAACAATTGTGGAGTATTTAAGAGACAAAATTGATTTTAAAAAATATTTTATAATCTCTAGCTATAAACTCTTTGTCAGCCATTATGAACAGATAATAAAAACTAGCACTGTTTTAATTTGCTTGTCTAAAATAGTTTTTCACCTCACAAAAGTTGGTTTGGTCACATGACCAAACTTAATGATACACTGACTAGTATATAAATAAGAGGCACTGTAAATTGAATGAGAAAGTGCAATTCTGTCTCCTGTAGTCATTTTCAGTCAGCATATTTACATCTCTTCTAACAAGGACATGAAACTGTCTGTATTTAATTTGCATTCTCTTTGTCTTCTGGGTTGGGGGAAAAACACTGACTACAATTAACTTAAAAAAAGCTAATAGTAACAATTCTGAATACATTGAAAAGGTTTGTCTAACACAAAAATTTATGTTCTATATGGTATGTTTTTATTTCTGTAGCAGTCTTTGGTGTTAACTATTTATCCAGATATTTGCTTCATGTAAGATGCTATATAGAAAGCTTGACTGAATTGAATGTCTGCCATTTATGTGAATTGTAGGTAGGTGAAAAATGTTTAAATAGTTAAAAGCACATAGAACAGATGGTTCTAAATTATACATGCAACAAAGGACTAGAAGATTTGGCAGATTATAAATGGCAAGCAACAGAGAATAAGCAGTTTAAGAAAATGGTAGTTAAGTACATTTGATGTCTCACACCTATTGTAAACACTGTACATATTATTGTCACTGTGCTGCATAATCAATAATTTGTACAACATTAAGACACTTGTATGGTTCAGATAGGAAAAAGTAATATTTTTACAGGTATTTGAAACCAGTGGTTGAATTTAAAATTATTTTAAGCCTATTATGATGAATACGAGGTTTTTTAATGAAATTAGATTGTGTGCTTCAAAAATACAGTTATTTATGAGAACTTAATATTGTGTTCTTATAATGATTGGAGAGAAATAGGAATGGGCACATATTTTAAAATCCAGATAATAGTAGCTTCACGGTTCTCATACGTTAAACTAGTGCCAGAGTATAGTACCATTTACTCTTAGGAACACTAATGAAAAAAATACTTCTAAACTCTTCAGTTTTGGAAATGCATTTATTGGAATACTGCTTGCATCATTTATTAAATACTTGTTAAATGAAGGAAGGATATATTTTAGTTTTAATTTTTGAGTTTTATGCATAACATGATACTGATTTTACTTGAATATAGTTTACTTTGAAATTTTAGAATAGATGGATTCTTATGCAGTTTTGTTTTCTTTCTAGAAGAGTCTCTAAGTAATTATATTTAGCATTTTCAAAAAATTTGGAATAGCTTAAAGTATTCAACTTGGTAGAAATTTGTTTTTGTTTTTTATAAGCCATTCATTTAAAATGCACATAAGAGTGTAATGGAAACCTTAGAATTTTAATTCTGTTGCCCTTTCTCCCATTTCTTTGTTTGCATGTTTATTATAGAACTGCAGTGTAAAGGAGCAGATGTTTTGCCAAACATCCTGATGTGTTGCTTTTTCTTATGGGAGTGCATAACTGTTCCTTCTGATGCTTCAACTTGACAGCTGGTTGATTTCATGGAGCTGCTAAGAAGCCATTAGTGGTGTCATTGAATTGAAACAGAACAGTCACTCCCAGCTTGAACTGCAATTGTTAATGTCTTTGTTGCTACTTTTGTGTTACTATACAAGATGTAGGATATCACAGTTGCACAAAAGTTCAGGATTTCTGTCTTATCTCCTTGAATTAGTGAAAGTGTATGTTGGAACTTGATTACTTTTAGGTTTAAAGGTTTCTCCGAGAAGAGATTTTAAGTTGTATCTTCTGAGTAGAAATACCAAAAGAAAAAATATGATTTAACACAAAGTAATATGGTGATTTTGATCCTTAAGAGGAATTATATCATCAAGTTTTAGTGATTATTAGTATACTTGATTTCCTGGGGGATTAAGTTACCTAGTTAGGTATTTTCAGAGTTTTTTTGGTTATATAAAACTAAGTATTTTGTATCGTGAAGTTTTAAAAATATTGTTGCCTTATTTAATGAATGTTAATCCATTTGGCTGTTTCTTTAAACTTGTTGTAGGAGATAATCAGAAAAGAAAAGAAATAATTATTGGGGAAAGAGGCAGTTTTGTATTTAATTTTTCTTTACAAAGAGGCTAGAATATTATTTAAAAATTCATACAAACTATGATCTAAAATACTAGTAGACATTTAATGATTTTTTACAATTGAAATTATATATTGTTATAACTTCTATTGATAGTTTCAGCTATCATACTGTGATACTAAAATGGTATCATCCCATTGGTGCCTGTGTTTCTACTTTTTCTAATTTATTTGCATGGTGTTTTTTGGTGAGAGAGGAAATGGGAGGGAGAAAAGAGGAAGAATGAAAAGTGATAATCCCAACACAGAAAAACACATTTTAAAAAATTCATGTCAATAAACTTTAGGATGATAAGATTTAAGGATGTAATATAGTTTATTTATTACTATGTTAAGAGAATTTTTCTAGTCCCAATATTTATTGACTTTTAATTTGTAGGTCTTTAGGTGTATTAGACATTTAAATAACTCCTCAAAGAGCATAAAATCTGTAACATTTAAAATGTTTGCCATTACAAAAATAAATACTTAAAATATAAAATTGATTAGAATATATAATTTGCTCTACAATATAAACAAATTTTTAACACTTATATTGTTGATTCCAGAATTATGATTTCCTGAAATCCCAAGTTTATAGAGACACTTCCCTTTTAAATAGGTTGTACATTACTGGGACTAAAGCGAAGATTCGTATTCAGGCATTGTGCTTTCTTAACTCTTTTTATATAGTAGCCGTACAACTCTTTAAAAAGAAAATCATTCTGTTACCTTTGACTATGACTCAATATTTAAGAAATATATTTACTCATAATGTATTTTTGTTGAGGCAGATACTCATATAAATCAAATTATGGCACGTTGAATTGTGTATGAAATATAAACTTTTTTTTTAAAGGACTCCTGATAATTTATTTTTAGAGATAAGGTAGTCTTAGTTGTACTATACATAAACATCCTATAGTTTAGGAATTGTCAGGCATCAGATTTCTTTAAGGAAGATAATTCTTAATAGAAAGATCATTTTAAAAAAGTTCAAACTTAAATTTACAGGTTTTTTTGTTGACCATATTAAATATGCTATTATGGATAATAAATATATTTAATTCATTTTAAACTGCATATGGAATTATAAACTATTGGCCACATCTTTGTTGAAAACAGGAAAAGGAAATGAATATATATGACTTTTATATCTGTTTTGAGTGCTATTTGATTTGTGGCAGTCATAGTAGAGTTTGAAATGTAAAATATTTAAGAGTATGGATATTTACAAGTTAAACATTTAGTTTTTAACATTAATAGGGTTTTATAAGAATATGAGGTGAAAATATACTTTTTATTCCACATATTTAAATTTTTACTATATAAGGTAAGACTATTTCAATTTGTTTTAAAAGATAAAGTTAATGCTGTAAAAACAGTTTTTATAATTTATAAAATTCAACTTGTACTTTGCCTTTTGAATATCTTTCATTCAAATAAAAATTGTTGCACATTGGGGATAATAATAATGACGGCAACATAGATAAGGACCTTAACTAATTTTGTGTTGTGCACATGTGTGCATGGCATGTAAGAAAAAGGAGCATTTGGTTTGAAGATAATTCTTGCATTGGTACTTCAGCTATGTGTAGGCATAATTGTGTGTTTTTTCTTGTTTTCTCCTCTTAACACTTTTCCACAAACATGCACTCATTAATCAAAGACAGTGCACTCCTGCTGAGGGCAGAGAGGTTCATCAAATTGGCAGTCAGTTTGGTGTAAAGAACGGTGTACTGAAGCTCTTAACTCGCTAAGACATAAATAAATCTAAGGTCTTTGTATGCAAACCCTAGAGGTTAATACTGTATAATTCAATGTCCTGTCTTTGTTTTTATGATTGATGTTTTTTAATGTTTCAAGCTTGGTGAAAGTCTTCTAGTAGGTCAGGTCTGACAATCTGATTGGCTGTAGTAAGAAAGCATTAGGTTGTCAAAGGACTTTGAGTATGCTGCAGAGATTTTGATTTTTTTTTTTTTCCTACAAGATCATTGTCATATTGCCTGAGCTGTTATAGGAATGTACCAATGATTGACATTCCCTGCTGTGATAATGGACCTGGTGCATAAAATGCCAATAGTTTGGTCCTATTTGTTCAGAAGCTTACTGCTATTTGTATCCTTAACAGAGCTAACATGTAGAACAAGCAAAACTACTGGGATTTCTCTGTAGAAATAGTGCTGGGATTTGGCTTTAACATGAATTGGTTGCATATTCATAATTTAAGAACAGCTGGTTACAGCAAGCACATAGTCATTTGCAAGCTATTATAAACCATTCCACTCACACATGGAGCCTGTGCTTGGTGATTTTTTTTTTTTTATTGATCTACCTGCATTTAAAATCTGGTCACTGCTGCTACAGAAGCTCTTCATTTTAGCTGTGTTTGCAACACAGAACAGGTTCAATTTTAAATATTTAATTTAAACTTAATGCTGAATAAAACGAAGCTTTGAAGGAAACAAGTGTAGAAGGTCATGTCTTACCTGTCATGTAGTTAATCTTGGCCAGAACCAACCAACCAAACAAACCTAGATTATACAACTATTGTAATTTTTGGAATATATGTTTTATGATTTTATTTATAGATTAATAATGGAATTATCTTTGATTTCAAAATACTGCTACTAATATTTTATTGGTTATACATAGTTTTGGGAAACAGCATTGAGAGTAGATTGTGATTAATTAGTCTAAAACAATGTCATCTAATATGTAGAAGAGTGGTCGTATAATACTTTTAGCTTATGAGTGATGCAAAGCAAGATAGAAGGGAAAATTGATAGGACTTTATAATTGGGTTAGAATAATGCTAATCCTAAAACTGTAAAGTTAGTCTAATTTTTTAGAAGGAATCTAATAAATCTCTCTTGCTTTTTGGGTCACTTCTGGAATACTAAGCACAAGTATGCTCTTACAGTATTTAAATGGTATTTGTAAGTTAGGCCAGCTATAATAGTTTCCTGCATGTTGTCAGTAATAACTGTAAGGAAAGAGAAGAAAACTTCTAAATCTCAAGCTTTCATTGACAAGGGTGGGAGGAGAAAATGTTAAATGCTATTTCAGCTCCCCTTTTAGAAACCACAGGGAGCTGTGCCTTGATTTGTGTATGTTAAAAGAAGTGAATACCCGAGTGATTTACAATGATGCGTTTCCACACATGGTGTTAGGTTCACATGTGCATGTATGTGTTTGTCCCCACACTCGATGATGAAGTAGCTCTCAGCACTTCAACGTTGAGTACCAGTCCTAAGAGTGCATTTTACTCTTTCTTGACTTCACAAATGGCTGGATAGGTTTGTAATATAACAGAATATATGGCCAAATTTAATCTAGCTGATAGTAGGCTCTACTTTTTTAAAAATAATAAATCCAAAGGTTATAAAAGGACGATGGATTATGTTTTAGTTTTGAGTTGCATAGGATCATAACTATAATTAGTTAACTTTCCATTATTTGAGAATTCATCAGGCGTTTTGTAAATGATTTTATGTCCTTTTCTTCTCTCCCTTTTGACTATTGTTCTTTCATTTATTTATCTGCTCTTTGGTGTCTCATCAAAGAATAAAAGAAGGAAAATTCAAACAAATGTGGTTTTCCCTGCCTTCCCACTTCTTGATGAAGAAGAGTTATTAGTGTTTTGCTAAAATTAAGGTTTGGGATTTTATTTGTCTGCCTTTTCTGGTTCTCATTACATAAATAATTATATTTAAAAAAGAGGAAGGGTGAGTTAATGGACTGAATTTTTATTTTTATTTTTTTTAAGACAGAGCCTCACTCTGTTGCCCAGGCTGGAGTGCAGTGGTGCTCCTGACCTCCAGTGAGCCCCTGCCTCAGTCCCCCAAATAGCTGGGACTACAGGCATACGCCACCATGCCTGGCTAATTTTTGTATTTTTGTAGATATGGGGTTTTACCATGTTTCTCAGGCTACTCTTAAACTCCTGGAATTGAATGATCTGCACACCTTGGCCTGTTAAAGTGCTGGGATTACAGGCATGAGCTACCACACCGGGCCTGACTGAATTTTTCTGTACTATATTAGTAATCCATCAAAACAAAAAATTTAGACATTGTTTGAAAAAGCGAAATGACTCAGTGCCACCCACCACAAGAGAACTGAATGTATTTGATACACTTGTATTGTTCTAGTATTAATAATAGGAAAAGGGGGAGGCATCTACCTCCATTCTTCAAGCTTTTATTGATTGTTGTCTCCAAGCATGCCCTTGGAGAGCTATGGGTAACAATTTATGAAAGTTCAGAATAGGACAGAGAGATGACTTCTGGTTGGAATCATTAGAAAAGGCCCTTCGGCTTAGGTACCATTGAAATAGATCCAGCACAATTAAATTTTGAATATTCACATATCAGGAAGACAAGATCCAAGAAAAGAAGGACTACATAAGCCCCTTATAGAACTCCAAATATATAGCTAGAACTCTATATTAGAGCTAGTCTATTTGACATCTGGGATGGTTCTGCCTTTTCAAGGTCACCCCAACCTATACCTCTTCCACCTAGAAGGAAAAGAAAATGTCATGGGATCCTTCCCTTCCTTCATTGCTTTCAAAATTGACTACGTGGCTTTTTCTGGAGAAGATGGGTTCATCAGTTTCAAATCCTCCATTTCAATGATAGGCTTATTTGTGGAGGCCAGGTTAAAACTGACAAAACTGCACTTTCTGGTCAGAGATATTTAAATCTTCTGTTTTGAGATTAACCAGAACCCGTCCCTTTGCCTTGGTTCTTTTCTTATGCTTTTGTGAATAGTTTTTCTGGAAACCTAAGGCATGATCACCCCTACTAAGAACATTAAGTAGAGAGCACAGGATAATATCTGTGTATTCCTTTTCTCCATGATGATGGCTCTGGCTCAAAAAACGCTTGTACGTCTTTTAGTTCCTTTGGTTGAATGCAGAAGACAAGCAGACTGCTGGACTGCCAGTGACAGGCATATCCTTAAAGACAAAAAGGAGGGCCGGGCACCATGGCTCATGCCTGTAATCCCAGCACTTTCAGAGGCCAAGGCGGGCAGATCACTTGAGGCCAGGAGTTTGAGACCAGCCTGGCCAACATAGTGAAACCCCGCCTCTACTAAAAATACAAAAATTAGCCAGGCGGGTGTGGTGGCACGCGCATGTAATCCCAACAACTGGGGAAGCTGAGGCACAAGAATTGCTGGAACAGTTGAGGTGGAGGTTGCAGTGAGCTGAGACAGTGCCACTGTACTCCAGCTTGGGTGACAGAGTGAAACTCCGTCTCAAAAAAAAAAACCCACACAATTTATAGCCCCTATTTTCAATAACGTCAGTACTGGTTTTCACTGAAAATAGAAGTCCCACTAAAAGAGTATGAAAAAGGAAAGTTTAAAAAAATTTTTAAGACAAATATATGGAAGGTCTTTTACATAAATGTCTTGGCCAAGGACAATAAATTTTAGCGGTTAATCTTTTCCTAACTTCGTTATTACTACATCGTCATAATAATAAAATTTATTATTATTGCATCATCATAATGAAATATGTTTTATTTGCCATATTGTGATGAACCTTTACTTGTAAGAAATTTGTCCTAAGAAAACCTTAAAACTTTTAGGTAACCATATTTTATCTTGTACAAGAATAAGTTTTGAAGTAAATTAAAGATGGAAAACAGTGGAAATAAAAGGCGATATAGTATCTAAGTTTAGTTCACAGCTATACTTACTATCTCTTCTGGTTCCATGATGGCATGGTTGTTGACATATGCTTCTGATTTTCCTTGGGTAAAGTATTACTGTTAACATAAACCATTGTGATGATGACACAAGAAGCACCAAAACCTATTTTCAACATTTGAGAAAATCAGGAGCAGCCTTTAAGTCACAAAATGACCTTTTCTTCCTTTCATGGGTTGTTAGTGCAGCATGCTAAAAAAACAGAGTCTGCAGGACAACAGTAACTGACAGAGGTGTGGGTCAAATCTCTTTATTTTAAAAGAGGGGTTACTTTGGAGCTCAAGTTAAATGTTTGTTCTTAGGGTTTAGGCAGAAACAACAAAAAAGGAGACAATTTTAAAGAAGGTTTCTAAATGCAGTCAGAGTGGAGCGTTGTTATGTAATCAAGTCGTCTTGGAACATATCAAGATTTTGTCTATAGTGGTGTATTTTAGCATTAAATTTCTGTGCCTTGTCATTAATGTTATCTGCAGCTTGTTGGGAAAATAACTCTTATCTGTAATCAGACCTTGGGGATTTGAAGAAAAAGTTGAAGGGTTAGGGAAGGGAAATGTAAATAGTAAACACTTGGTCCAGGAAGAGAATGTGTAATAACTTTGGACAATTAGATAGAAGCTCTCTTTACCCTTCCCCCTGCAAAAAGCCTGTTCTTAGATTTGCTTGCCAAAACTCACAAAAGAGAATAATTGTTTTAAAGAACGTGAAAATGTTTTTGTACTATGTGTGAAATAGGAGGGTAGGAATAAGGCATTCTCTGGAAGAAAAACTAAATAGTGTGACCAGAATTGTACTGTTCTTAAATTTTTATTATTAATTTTTTGGAGACATGGTCTTGCTCTTTTGCCCAGACTGGACTGAACTCTGGGCATAAGAGATTCTCCCATCTTAGCCGCCTGAGTAGCTGGGACTACAGCCATGCACCACTGGGCCCAGCTATTTTATTAAAATGAACTATTCTATGACATAGTACCTTGAATTTGACCTTTTGTGTTTTAATATGAGACAACTTCTGTGAAATAGATTATTTTTGCAAATACTTTATTCATTCCAAGTAGCGTTTAATATGTTGCAGGTATCAACTAAATTAATTACATATACATAGGTAAAAATACATGTTTGTTTCTATATTTATGATCTTAGCACCTCAAAAGTGAGCTAAAAATAATCCTACAGCTACCCATGGAAATAAATAAAAATTACATATCAGGCCAGCCACAGTGGCTCATGCCTGTAATCCCAGCATCTTTTGGGAGGCCAGAATGGGAAGATCATTTGATGCTAGGAGTTCAAGATCAGCTCGGTCAACATAGCAAGATCTTGTCTCTATACAAAATTTTAAAATAAAATAAAATAAAATAACCTGGATGTGATGGCACATGCCTGTAGTCCTAGCTACTTGGGAGGCCGAGGTGGAAGGATCACTGGAACCCAGGAGTTCGAGGCTACAGTGAGCTATTATTGCTCTCTAGCCTGGGTAACAGAGTGAGAGGCCCTCTCTCTTCTCTGTCTCTGTCTCTGTCTCTCATACTCCAGCCTCGGTAACAGAGTGAATTCCTGTCTCTCTCTCTCTCTCTCTCACACACACACACACACACATGCATGCAAAATATATTAACTTGTCACTTCTTTAGATTTTAAAATAATTTTCTTACTTTTAAGCTTAAAAATGTCCTCCTTACAAAACTTTTTATAGTTATTTTCTCATATTTTGAATTTTTTGACATTTAATGATTCTGCATTCCGTTCTGCTATAAAACTGTCCTTTTATGCCTATGTTAAGGCCCAACTTCCCATCAACACTTACCTATACCACATTTTCATGTTATATCATATTCTCTAAAATGTCTACTATAAGGAATGTTGAGCTAGATAACTAAAGGTCAGTTTTTTAAAGCATTGTCATGTTTTGGTTGTAGTTTTGTTTCAACCTCTTGTGATAGGAATCTTTCTTTAAAAATACTAATTTTATTAAACATATTGAGAGTATTCAAAATATGCTTTGATTTTCAAGTACATGCTAACAGAAAAAAATACGCTTTGATAAGGCAGGGTTATCATACTGCTAAGTAATTCTATTACATTTTAGATGCCTGAATTAAAGCTATTTGAGTATCGAAATATTGTACTCTATAAATATGTACAATTATTGCGTGTCAATTAAAAATAGCTGTGCATGGTGACTCACCCCTGTAATCCCAGCTACTTGGGCGGCTGAGGTGGGAGCATCGCTTGAGGCCAGGAGCCTGAGACCAGCCCGAGTAACATAGTAAGACTCCCACCTCTAAAACTAAAATAAAATAAAAAATACATATATGAGAAAGGGAAAAAAACTATTTGAGACTGTAACTGGGAATTTTAAAAAACAAATTCTCATATTTGTGTCATTTGCTTCTTTATGATAAAAGGATATATGCAGCTGTACAACTTGCCAGTTACTTATTCCTCCTTACAGTTAATTGTATTCATTGTCCTTTGACTTTACTTCTTTAAAATTAAAAGTGTATTTCTTCACTATAAAATATTAATAAAAGTTTTGAAAAGTACAGAAAAGTATTAAGATATAAATTTCAAATGTTTGAAATTCTATTATTCACAGGCTGCTGTGTGCATTATTAGTTTGTTTTATGTTGAAATGAAATATTTACTGAAATGAAAGTGTTCATTAATGAAACAGCAGGTTAGTGTCATGAACCTATTCCTGAAAAAGATGAAAATGACAGAAGTAGGCATAGAGTGAAATGCTTCTGTGGTATTACCTAAGAAAAGTAAAATAATCCACTGGATTAAGTGACAAGGACATGAGTGACCTTGGCATTAATAGTTTCAGTGGAGTGGTTTGGATTAAAGCTATAGAAATGAAAACATGTTTAAACAGTTTTTAGAGTTTTGTTTTGTTTTGTTTGTAAGGAGGAGGAAAATAAATTGGGTAGTTTCTGGGAAGGAAATGTGGGAATTTTTTTTTTTTTCTTTTTTTAACAGGACAAATGAAGATACAGGGACAGAGGATATAATTCAGAGATTCTATGAGAAATGGGAAGAAGTGGGTTCCAGACCCATGTTAGGCTGATTATTGTGAACTGGAATGAGGGATACCTCTTTTATTGTAACTAGAGGGAAAGAGAAACTATGGGAATGCACAGTGGTGAAATTGGAGCTTGAGGAAAAAAATTTCAGAGTTCCAAATTTTAGCACTTTTTTTTTTTTTTTTTTTTAAACAGAAATGACTTCTTGTAATCCCAGCTACTCAGGAGGCTGAGGCAGGAGAATCTCTTGAACCCAGGAGGTGGAGGTTGCAGTGAGATGAGACTGCAGCACTGCACTCCAGCCTGGGTAACACAGCAAGACTCCATCTAAAAGAGAGTGTGTGTGTGTGTGTGTGTGTGTGTGTGTGTGTGTGTGTGTGTGTGTGTTTGGAATAAGGGACAAGAAGACTCCATCTAAAAGAGTGTGTGTGTGTGTGTGTGTGTGTGTGTGTGTGTGTGTGTGTGTGTGTTTGGAATAAGGGACAAGAAGAGCTAGGCAACAGGGAGTATGATTTGCATATATTTTCTCCTAGAACTTTTTCTCTGAGTCTGTTGAGATCTTTGCTGTTGTTCTGTACGTGAGGCTGGAACTCTGATTTTAGCAATTTCCCTGCTTTAAGGAGAAACTGGCACACCTGAAGATGTGAGTGGGAGGAGGAAGAGAATGACTGTAATCCTGTAGATTATGAGTTTTGTGTGGTGAGTCATAGCTTTTGTTTGCTTAGTCAGATTTGATCCTCACCTTCAAAGCTGTCTCTTCAACTCTAATGAAAGGTTGAGAAAAATCAAAAGGATGAGACTGAAAAAGTAGCTCAATTATTTTCTGCTCTGCTAATATGTGTCCTAAGCTCTGTGATTCCCCACTTCTCTTTATAGGCCCCCCATGATTCTAAATGTCAACTATGAAAGCTATGGGTTAGGACATTTCTGAATGTTCTCTTACTAAATTCTGAACCTTGCACTCTTAGGGCATATGCATGTAGAATCAAAGTCTTATTAAAATAGTACTGATATTTTACCTGATTCCCACACTAATTTTGGTCCTTTCTTATCCTGTTTGGTGGATTTGGGGACTAGATCATGTGAATGTATGTTACTCAGATTTTAAAGGCTCTTTTCACATATCCACAAAAATGCCCCTAAGAAGAATTGATACCATTTTGTATGCTCTTGTAATTGGTATTTTTTCATTGTTTTTTTGTTTGTTTGTTTGTTTTTGTTTTTGTTTTAACAGTGGGAATAACATTTTAATTTGTATATTTTTTATTTTTATTTTTATTTTTTTGAGACGAAGTCTTCCTCTGTCACCCAGGCTGTAGTGCAGTAGCATGATCTCGGCTCATGGCATCCTCTGTCACCGGGTTCAAGTGATTTCCCCCACCTCAGCCTCCTGAGTAGGTGGGACTACAGGTGCCCGCCAGAAGGCCCGGCTAATTTTTTTTTTTTTTTTCTATTTTAGTAGGGTTGGGGTTTCACCATGTTGGCCAGGATGGTCTCTACTTCTTGACCTTGTGATCCGCCCACCTCAGCCTCGCAAAGTGCTGGGATTACAGGCATGAGCCATCACACCTGGCCAGTTTGTATATTCTTGATATGGATAATCATATATTCCTAAATTTGTTAGGGAATTGTATTTGTTTCTGAATGGTTTGGCAGGAATGGTTCTGGTAAGATTTTTGGAGCAATGTGATCATATAATAATTATCTTTTTTAAATTTGATTTTGTTTTTCTTTTTTTATTATATATTTTCTGGCAACTTTCATTTAAGATCATATAATAATTATCTTAAAGATTTTTCTTGATCCCCCCAAAAGGCTGGTCTCATTATGAGGTATGGCTTATTATTTACATAGGTGTGCAAAAATATTAACCATATAGGCTTCCATGAGTTTATTTGTGCATATGTTGAGCCTATGCACTATGTACAACTACTAAAGCTATAAAATTAACTATTTGGATTTTGTCTAAGAAATCTGAGCTAGGATATTTAAAAATTACTGATATTTCCTCTCCTCAGTCTAGAAAGCAAGCCTGAGACATTTACCAGATTTTACCTACTATAGTACCCCTAACTATCCCTCAGATATCTTAAGATTCTTTGCCTGCCAGGAAGTGATCTTCCTTATCACCTAAAAAGCTGAGCCCCTGTAAGACAGGGACCAGGCTAGTTTTCCAGAGATGGCTTGTAAAGTCAACATTAATTCCTTAAAAGTAGCTTGTTATACCTGCATTGTTCTCAAATATGACGCTCTAGGGAAAACGTCAGTTGCTCAATAGATTGAGTAGCTGGTATTACAGGCATGCAGCACAAAGCCAAGCTAATTTTTATATTAGCTTGGATGGGGTTTTATATTAGAGATGGGGTTTTGCCATATTGGCCAGGTTGGCCTTCAAGTGATCCTCCCTCCCTGGCCTCCCAAAGTGCTGGAATTACAGGCATGAGCCACCACACCCAGTTAATGGCTGTATTTTATTTTATTCATTTATTTATCTTTTGAGACAGAGTGTCACTCTTGTCTTCCAGACTGGAGTGCGGGGCCTCAGTCTCGGCTCACTGCAACCTCCACCTCCCGAATTCAAGCGATTCTCCTGCCTCAGCTTCCTGAGTAGCTGGTATTACAGGTGGCTGCCACCATGCCTGGCTAACTTTTGTATTTTTAGTAGAGCCAGAGTTTCACCATGTTGGCCAGGCTGGTCTCTTTGACCAGGTTGGTCTTGAACTCCTGACCTTGTGATCTGCCCACCGTGAACTCCCGAAGTGCTGGGATTACAGGCGTTAGCCATCATGCCCAGCCATAATTTTTCTTAAGAGTTTTTGGTCAGTATTTCCCCCAAGAGTAAAATTCTAATGGACAGTAAAGACATTGACACATTCCCAGGGATTTCTCATAAAACATAAATTTTCTGAAATATTTGTACTAATAACATGTTATTTGTATAAACTTAACCTAGGAAAAGCTAAATATCCCTTTTGATTTGACACTTTTCCCATGCAGTTCTTATGAGAGTAACATATCAAGTAAACCCTATTCTTTCTAGCAACTCTGTTGTTACGAGATGAAAGAGTAAGACTATGTGGTCTTATTGAGGCACTCTGGGAAATCTCAAAGATAGTTTAGTGTAAAGTATTTAGTGTATTGTGAAAGTTTTATTTTATTTTTCTATATTTAGGATCTGATTAGGGGAAGTAAAATAGAGAGTTGTCAGGATATTTGGGGCTTGCTTGAGATAGAATCATGGCTGCCTGAGAAACAAGCTTTGGTTACTTATTTAATCAACGTAACAATAAAAATATACATAGAAGATAAGACCTAGTCAGACCTGGTGTCTCACTCCTGTAATCCCAGCACTTTGGGAGGCTGAGGCAGGTGAATCACCTGAGGGTGTGGTGGTGCACACCTAAAATCCCAGCTACTTGGGAAGCTGAGGCAGGAGAATCACTTAAACCTGGGAGGCAGAGGTTGCAGTGAACCACAATTGTGTCAGTGCACTCCAGCCTGGGTGACACAGCAAGACTCCATCTCAAAGAAAAAAAAAGGTAAAACCTTATCTGTTTCATACCTGAGGAGGAACCTTTATTCAGTTTTTTTTTTCTTTAGATGATCAGGGACATAATGAACTCAATGTAAGCACAGAAAATTATTCAGTTAGGATACAGAATTTTTGCCTTTCACATTGAAGATGAAGGAATTAACCAGTATTCTAAGGAAGCAAATCCATCAATGTTGAGTGAAATTTTCTAAAATTTAAAATGTTTTGAACATTTTAAATACTCAAATTAGCAAGAAAAAACAATCCAATCAAAAAGTGAGCTAAGGACATGAATAGACAATTCTCAAAAGAAGATATACAGGTGGCCAAAAAACAGGAAAAATGCTCAGCATCACTATTGATCAGGGAAATGCAAACTAAAACCGCAATGTGATACCACCTTACTCCTGCAAGAATGGCCATAATCAAAAAGTCAAAAAATAATAGATGGATGCAGTGAACAGGGAACACTTCTACACTGTTGGTTGGAATGTAAACTAATACTACCACTATGGAAAACAGTGTGGAGATTCCTAAAGAACTAAAAGTAGAACAACCATTTGATACAGCAATCCCACTAATGGGTATCTACCCAGAGGAAAAGAAGTCATCATATGAAAAAGATACTTGCACATGCATGTTTATAGCAGCACAATTCGTAATTGTAAAAATGTGGAACCAAACCAAATGCTTATCAATCAACAAGTGGATAAAGAAACTGTGGTATATATGTACATATATATATATATATGTATATATATATATACACACACACACATATATATGTACACACACACACACCTATATATATATATATGAGATAGAATACTACTGAGCCGTTGAAAGGAATGAATTAATGGCATTCACAGCAACTTGGATGAGATTGGAGACTATTATTCTAAGTGAAGAAACCCAGGAATAGAAAACCAAACATCATATGTTCTCACTCATAAGTAGGAGCTAAGCTATGATATAAGGATGCAAAGGCATAAGAATGACAAAGTGGACTTTGGGTACTCGGGGGAAAGGGTGAGAAAGGAGGATGAGAGATAAAAGACTGCGAATTGGGTGCTGTCTATACTGCTCAGGTGGTGGGTGTACCAAAATCTCATGGATCACCACTAAAGTCCTTACTCATGTAACTACACCCTACCCCCAATACCCTATGGAAATCAAAAATTAAAAAATATAAAAAGTAAATGGATAAAAAATAAAATGTTTGGTAGCTTCTTTTCTATGTTAGCTGTTATAAATCAAGACAAATACAATTTACTTTCTAGGTTAGGGTCTTCATTATTGTCTTTTATATTCTTGAACAGACAGACATTTTACCTTAGGCCAATACTTCTCTCTAATGGGATCTGTGGTGTCACACATATTTTTATAAAAATACTAAAATTTGCTAATAAGCAATACATTAATCATTGTCTTCAAATAAAATAGTAGATAAGCACTTATAAGTATTTATCAGTCTTAATTTCCAATATGGTAAACACCAAGAGTTACAACCTACATAAAATAAAAACTCTTTTGGAGTCTTCAACAAGTCCTGAGAGTGTAAAGAGATCAGGAGACCAAAATGCCCAAGAATCTCTTCTTTAGGACAGTACTACTACTTTTCCTGGAAAATAAATGCATATACCTAGTTGTGCTTCCATGCC